TAAAAGGTGCCGTGGCTAACCGGCGAATGGGAGCTGGCTTGACTTGGAGAAGGATTTAAGAGCCGTTTGGCGTGGTTTCAAAGCTGATGACGTCGGCTCGCTCCATGAGACAGTTAAGGCTTTCGCATTAAAAGCAGTAATCTATTTAACCGTTCTAAATGTGATACAGTGGCTTGCCACTAAGTTACAACTGCCAGTGCCAACTGCCGATGACATCGAAGCGGCCCATAGACTGGGCCTCCGTGAAGGAAAAATCCCGCCTATCATCCTTAGGTTTAAGGACCGCGCTGTAAGAGACCTCTGGATTACTAAACGTGTGGTATTTAGGCAGGAGGGCATTTTCGTTAACGAGGACCTCACCAAGCCTCTTAGACAACTGTTTTGGAGCGCTAAGCTCCAAAACAAAGGAGAAACATTATAAATATGTCTGGTGCACAAACGGAAAATCTTTTGTCCGTCATAGCGAGCAGAAGCCCGCTATTCGTATCAATAACGATCAAGTTCTGTTGAAAATTCTTTAAAAATGTCTGCTACCTTGCAATCATTCCTAGAATGGGATGCCCACCTTAAAAATGAGCTAGGTGTCTCTACTAAAGGTAAAATGAAACTTTATTTACTTCATATTAATATAGGAAGCATACAAAAAAATTGGGATCATTTACTAGTTGACCTAAACGATCGAGTTGATTGTATCGATGTTTTAGTTTTAACTGAAATAAATGTTGACAAAAAAACTAGCACTTTGTTTACGTTAAAAGATTTTCATTGTTTTTCATTGTGTAGAAAGGGGCAACGGGGCGATAAAATTGTGTTTATTAAGTCTGGCTGGTTTTCCGAGAAAGTAATAACATCTTGTAGTCATGCTGAAGTGTTGGTCATTACAATCTCTAATCAGTTTACGTATTTTACTACCTGCTCTGTTTACAGGCCACTTAGTTCTAATCTTCCGTTATTTTTCGATGAAATGACGCAGCTTTTGAATGCGTTTGACAATAGACAACTGACACTTGCGGGTGACTTCAATATTGATGTACTGGATACGTCCAAATACGGAATCGCGGATTACCTTAACTTGTTATCGAGTTTTGGACTAGAAAACGTGATATCAAACTTCACAAGAGAAGAGCGTCTCGGAAACCGAATTACGAGCACATGTATCGATCATATTATTGTCAGGCTAAGCGAACTAAGATTCTTTTCCGGTGTAATTAAACAAAAAGAGGCCGACCACTATTTTGTAGCGCTTGTTGTGTATGGGGACGTCCTGAACAGCAAGCCTGATAGTCTCTGCAAGCTGATTATTGATAACAAAAAAGTAGATAAATTAATTAATGAATATGACTGGGATAGTTTACTCATTTTAGATCATATTGCAGCCTACCAAAGAATGACCGAATGGTTTGCGAATATTTACTGTACATGTGAAAGGAAAATTAAGCTTAAACAATGAAAATGTGAGAATGTATGGATCACTTCAGAAATAATGGAGCTGTGCAGTGAAAAGGACAAACTGTGGCACAGATGTAAAACCAACCCTGGAAATATCACATTGAAAGAAGAATTTAGAAGTCTCCGTAATAGGGTAACTGCAAAAAATAAGATTAGCAAAGAAAAGACATTACGTTGCCCGTTTGCAGACTCATCAGAGTAACCCGAGAAAAACTTGGGATGTTGTTCACGAGTTAATAGGGGGTAAAGACAAAGAAAATACTGATCAAACGGTGTTAACAGCTTTTGGAGACTCCGATGTAGAGTCCTTGTGCAATAAGTTCAATTCCTCGTTCATACAAGGTGCAACAGATTTGCAATACCAGGGTCATGGCTCTTCTACCGTTTTCACCACATGCGAAGAAAGGTGTCGAAATTCCGCCTACTTGCCACAGATGTTAGAAGAAGACTTAAAAATAGTTATCAAAAGTATGTCGGTGGCCAAACCACCTGGGCATGATAGAATTCGTTTAAGGGACCATTGTAGTTAATTTCGAAAAACTAAAACATCTCTTATTAAAAATAGTGAATTCATCTTTTTCTGAGGGAAAGATTCCGAATGGTCTTAAAATTGCTGTGGTGAGGTTTTAAGAACGGAAGTAGAAAAGAGATGATAAACTATAGACCCATTTCTATTTTGCCCGTACTATCGCTAATTATGGAAAAGTTTGTATTTGGTCCATTACCTCCTTTTGTGATAAGCATTTTTTACTATGTCACTCACAGTACGGGTTTCGACAAAATAGAGGAACAATTACATTGCTGGAAGATTTGTCCGACCACATTCATGATAATATTGATAGAAATAATTTTTTTCCTTTCTTTATTTCTAGACTTAATAAAAGCGTTCGATTCAATTGATCACAGGTTACTGATAGACAAACTTGAGCACCTGGGCTTTAGAGGCACATATATAAAAGTTTTAACCAGCTACCTTCCAGAACGGGGTCAATTAGTAAAGATTGGTGATTTTAGAAGTAATTTACTGATAATTCCTTCTGGTGCCCCCCAATGATCTATTTTGGGTCCCTTTCTTTTTAACATCTGTGTGAATGAAATACGTAAATTGAACTTTTTTCACGCGTTTTTCAATACACCGATGACACAGCTCTTGTTCTCGCGGAAGACAATGAATCGGAATCTCTGTCGTCCCTTCAAGCCGATATCTACGAGCTAATGGCATGGTTCAAAAACAATCGTATCTGCGTTAACATAGATAAAACGTAATCCTCATAAAACAATAACATTTAATATACCGTTGGTTCTACATCGATCTAACTGCGAGATATGCAATTGTATGCCGCTTGAATATGTATCTTCAATAAAATATCTGGGTGCTTTTTTTTTTTTTTTTTTGGGAGGGGGGGGGGGGGATGAACATCTTTCTTGGAATAGTCCCATTGAGTATCTTGCGAAACGACTTCGCGCAGTATTTGCATTTTTATACCGTTTGCGAGTTGTAACCAACCTGACTTTGAGAATGAGTGTTTTTCAAGCTCTGGGAGAGTCGGGGCTTCGGTATGATGTCACACTTTATGGTTCTTGTTCGAACTCTAGAAAAAGTAAATTAGATATTATTTTGCATAACATTTGTAGAAATTTAGCACATGGAACCAAATTGGATGAATTAAGAACAGAGTCAAAAATGCGTTCGCTACATCTTTTGCCAACTGAAAGACTATATATCTATGAAATACTAGTTAAGAATTATTTTAATAGTACGTTTAAGAAACCTGTAAGAAAAGAAAATGTTTTGAGAAAAATAGAGCGGTTCGCCTTCCCTAGGGTATACACAAATTACGGATAGCGGGGGTTCGGTCTTTTTACGTTCCTCATTACTTTAATTTGTTGCTAATGAACTTTTACATCTACAGTCGTTGAAAGTGATAAAAAAAGAGCTTAAAAATTGGTGCTGTAACTACTATTTTTAAATTGTTGTACGAGTCAAGAGTATTTTGTTTTTCTGTTTATTTTGTGCATCGCATTATTTGACGTTAGTGGTTTTTCTGCTGGTTGCCAGATCACGCCTACAAGCACTCACGAGCTTTTGTGGACCTCTTTGGAATGATGTATATTTCTTCGTGCAATAAAGACATTATTATTATTATTATTATTATTATTATTATTATTATTATTATTATTATTATTATTATTATTATTATTATTCAGAGTGTCGCTGCACTCAAGCGGAACGTCAGGTGGTGCGCTCTCGGTGCTCGATTGGCTAGATGGCTGATCGACTGCAAGTACGGCCCTTCTTGAGGTCAAACATTCGCGGACGCGTAGGCCTCCGTGCCTACAGTGGCGCAGTCCGCTCGGACACTTGGACATTTCGTAGCCAAGCGGCCAAGCGGTGCTTTGAAATCACCGCCGCCGCTACCGCGACGCCAGGGTCAATCCAAGAAGCAAAGGAAAGTTGAAGCTCTCCAGACGATGTATTTTTCATTACATGCGCAATAAAAAACGAAATGTAAAACTATCTCACAGTATGTAGGATTAGTCTTGGCAACATAAGAAAAATATACGCCCACAACTTTTCTCATTTAGACCAATTATTGACACAACTGGCCCTGTACCGTTTTCGTTGACGGTAACCGCCACATCAGATTATGGTTTTGTTCCGGTTCGGGTTCAATATTAGGCATTCGATTTCAACTTTGTTCCGGTTCGGTCAAAAATGACGGTTTTGGTTCGGTTTGGCGTTCGGTTACACACCCTAATTTTTTTCATACTGAGGAGAAACGTTGCAATTTTCGGGTGAGTTTCCTCGTGTGTATGTCAATGAGAGAAGTCTACTTCACACTATTCCTAACTTGTATGAATTTGTTAAATCATTATTATAAATAACCTATATCTTCCCTTCGCCCTCACCACGAACCGGGTCCTCCATCATCTCCGCCGATCCACAAGGGCGCCGCGAAACATGAAAGGTTGACAACCACTGCGCTGAAACATCGTGAGTGCCTCCCCGCCCCGACCGGATGACGTGAGCGGTCCCCGACTGGCTAGACCTCGACCCCCCATGCCGGCATTTTGCCGTGGGAATGGAAAAGGAAAAACACCCCTAGAACTCCACAGTAACCCTGAGACGTAGGAACAATAAAAAAATATATTAATAAAATAAAAAAATTAAACGGACTAAACAACAAATTCGTTGTTCTGTCCGTTTTTTTATCTTTTTTTTATTGTTTCTGCGTCTCAGGGTTACAATGGATATCATTCACCAGCTCACCTGCGTTTTTTTTTTTTTTTTAATTTCACCCCTAGAACGCTTAGAAACACGAGCAACAGGAAGCGAACGAGACGAAGAGACCGATTCAACTCCGCCAGGAACAAAAACGGACGCGAATATAGCCCTCTTGTATCAAATTATTTCTTTAAATCGATTTACAGTCAACAAAACCGTTCATACCGTTCTAATGGATCGCCAGTCGCCAAGATGATGTTCGATAACATATTTTTTTCAATCCGGTGTCCGACGAAAATAGCAATGAGCCAAAAGAAAGACTTACCACGAGCGTGTGACCGGCTCTTCGTACGAAATTGAAAGAACTTTCGACGATATGCGAGGAACGAGGATTCCGAAACTATGCAGACATTTGTTCGCGCCAGGTGTCGCAGGGGGAGAGTCGGAGAGTCGGTGTCGAGTGAGGAGGGAATAGATATGATAGATAGCGGTGGCGGCGGAGGGCGTGGGAAGGGGGGGAGGGGGGGGCAGCGGTGACTTGCCGTCTGAGCGAGCGAAGTAAGAAAAAGAGCGACCGACGAGCAAAAGCAAAAAAATACAAAAAGTGGCAAGAGGCGATGGCCTTGACTGTAGTTACTAGAGGAGTCAGGAAACTCGCTTCCCCGGCGACATGGCCTCCGAGATCCCGAAGCGCGGGCGTTCGCGCGCTTACTTCGGGGATCTCGGAGGCATTGTTGCCGCACTGCTACTTCGGTTTTTCTTAGGGTGACCTCCCGTCCCGCGACTCGCGGGACTGTCCCGCATTGAGGGCTCGTGTCCCGCGTCCCGCAAGAAATACCAAAATCTTTAAAATGTCCCGCATTTCACATTGTCGTAGCATTCGGCTACGCAAATTATGGCGCTTCCGAAGCACGGGCCACGGGGGTAGCACTGAGGTTACTGGTAAACGTGTGAATCTCGGTGGTATGCCATTTTCTATTCAAGCACTGCTGGAAGCGACTGTCGTTCTTGCAGGAGTGTGACGCGTATGTGCTGTTGTGCCTCTACCTTTGATGGCGAAATATCGCGAGCAAACATTTCTCGCCAAAAGGTGAAAAATAAACTGTTGTAATTATTTGCAAATCATACTCTGTCATGCCAAAGGGTTGTTATGGAAAGTTTTTTAGTGAAGACGGTCGCACAAGCCAAAAAAAAACTGCAACTCACAAGGGTCGTAAAAACAACAACATAAGGTTCTAATTTTGTGCAAGGGTGTATAAGAGTAAGTATCGACAGGAAACAATAAGTCGAGAAAGATTTACTGTTTCTTATTTCCCTTTCGTGCAGTGGGGTCTGCTGTAGTCGATTTATGTTTTCAACTTAGGCTTTCATAATAAAATATTTATCATTACAATTACAAAAAAATATATCACTGTGAGTGAAAATTATTCCAGCTTACTTGCCGCCACAGAATTTTCAGGTGTGTAATATGCTTTCGGAGTGCACAGAATATCGGGGTGTGCGTGATGTTGAATTTTTTATACTTTTTTCTTGAGTCATGAAAATACCGTACTCTTACCCCATTCCCTCACGCAGCAATTTCAAACTACCCACAATGCTCACGCGAAACGTGACATCACGCGTGGAATGAAAGTGATTAAAACATGACATGTAATGCAAATTAAATGATTTCACTTCTTAAAGAAAATTCCTTTGCCTAAAAAAATTAGAATCTTAGGTGGGATCCGAACCCACGATCCTTCGGTTGCGAGTCAGACATGCTCCTGACTAGGCCACACGAGGTACGCTTGCACGGCTAATGAGAAGGCGATGCGAACGAGGCCCGTTAACGCTATCACGTTCCACTTTAAGCGTCCTCCAAGATTTTTTTTGTTGTTTAGTAATACGAAGTAGTATTTCATGTTCTACTCGACATGGCAGGTACTTAATTGGACACTTTCTGACGGTTTGCGTGCGTAATCGTCATAGTTCCGCCGAATGCCCCTGTGTACTTTGTTTTTGAACAGCCCAAAGACACATAAAGGTCATGTTCACCACATAAAAGAGACAATAACATACTTCTATATGTTTGAGAAGTTATATGTGTGAGGAAAACATAGTTATTTAAATTAGCTTCAAAAACAGAAATGTGTGTAAGGCTGTCCAAAATCACTTACAACGTGCCTGTCGAGGATAAAAAATGCCGGAAAAGATTAGCAAAGCACCTTTCAGATAATTGAAAAGGGGGGGGGGGGGGGGGGGGGGGGGGCATTGCTTTAGGGTGGTCGGCCCTTTATTTATGTTGTCAAATCTTCAGTTAGTAATTAATTATATTTTTAATAATGATCAATAAATTTTACTTTATAAAGTTCACATGACCGCATGAGACCGACGCGGAAGGACGATACTGAAACGACGCGAGCTGTTGAGTCTGCGTAAACGTGTTTTTTGTTCGCTGATTGGCAGTGTGAAACATCAGGTTGCAGGGTATGCCAAGAAGGAGTCTGTGCTCACATGATAGATGAGAAGGCAAATACACGAAATGTGCCCAAAAAAAAGGAGAGAGAGATAATTAATAGTATTTCTCTAAATAGCCCCTTACAGGATGCCTTACTGCAAAAAGCGATGCATAAAGATGCCTGCAATGAAATTTCTGATAAATAGCGCGAGGTACAGACAAAGATTCTTAAATCCTAATTTAAATCATATTTCATCAGCTTGCATGAGCTCGAAACTACGCGAAATACTACCTCGGGAGGCTAATGTTATATTCGATTTTACCTGCACTTGTTTGGGTCCTCACTTTAGAACACTATGCTTCAACAGTCACGGTCTCTAACATTTCTCTAGGGTGTCGCATATCATCGCGAGACTGCTGTAAATACTGCACAACTTTATAATTAGGACATCTATTGCTAGTGTTGCGAACATCGCATTTCGCCAGGGCCCGTTTGCTCGAAAGCGCTAACCGCGGCTAAAATTAGCCGCAGTACTTAGGAGAGGGGTTCGGAAATCACGTGACTGGCTCGGTAGTAGGGATGCCGCGAACTTTTTTCGAATCGAAGTTTCGATGATCGAATCAAGCGGTTCGAAAGGTCGAAAGATTTCGATTTTTCAAATTGTCTTTATCGTGAAATTCGACGGAGGTCGAATTTTCGACCTTGTTAAACTAAGAAGTTCGACGCTTTTCGAACCGTCGACCTTATTACGCTAAAAAATTCGATCTTTTTCGAACTTTCGACTTATTGCGCTGCAAGGTTCGATGCTTGTCGAACTTTCGAACTTGACTGACCAAAAAATTCGATTAATTTCGAACTTTCAAACTTATTTATCAAGAAAATCGAAAAGTTTCGAACTTTCGAATTCTGAAAAGTCAGAAGTTCGACGAACTTCGAACTTTTAGGGTAAAAGTTCGACGTTCGTCGAACTTCGAAAGACCGGCGGACGGTTTCATTTGATTTCAAGTAGTGGGGTACATTCGTAATTTTTTTTTTCTCGAACTTTTACACGCGGTGCTGCGTTTCTTACGAAAGACAATGTCATTTATTTCAATGTTCTGGCATGCTTAGGTTTAAAGAAATAAATCCACGAAGGGGCGAGGACGGACGACGGGTTTTTTACGATTATCGTTTGTGCCAGATTTGAAGCACGCTGCAGCCGGAGCTATTTATGGCAGATATGTTATACTTTTTTAAGAATGATCTATGTATAGCCTAGGTAAGTGCCGTCTTAAGATGTGATTATTGTTATTCAACGTGAGTTTCGAAGAAATGTCCAAACATGTATCTGCATGCAATTATGACCTAAACTTGATATTTATTTTCGTCTAAGTTGTTTGAGGTATCGCATTTAAATTAACACCACAGACAGTACATATCATTGCCATCTGCAGAATACAAAATAATATATTTATTGTTTTTTCACGTTAAGGAATAAATTAACTCATTGCAGAAGATTTCTAGTAGTGTTCAAGTTCAGCACGTCATTAAAAGAAAACGTTTTTTTTTTTTTCGCTTCACATTCCTGGGACGTGTTTCTTTTAGCCTGTACACATTTCAATAAAAGAAACTTGTTTCGAAGTTCTGAACCTCTGAATATGCAAGAATAGAACACGTCCGACGAATTCTTGATAGTTTTTTTTTTCTCCTGCTTTTTTATTCCCGCATTTATTTATTTTTTTTTTTTTTTTTTTTTTTTACTATCGGCACAGGTGTTTAGGTCGAAAAGACATAGCTTTGAACTTCCGAACCACTAAGCATGTGACGAGCAGTGCCTTCTGACAACGAGTTTCTAACAGTGACCATCTACGCAACCTTTTATGCAGTGAAGAGCGACAGTAGCTATACATATGCATAAATAATTTCAGATTAAAATAAGCTCGACCACGCTCTCTTTCCCCGTATTGTTTTCTTTAACAGTCCGAAATACCTGCAAGGAGGAAAAAGAAGCTGAAGCCCCCCCCCCCCCCCCCCCCCCCCCCCCCCCCCCCCGCTACCCTCTTTCCCCCCGTTTTTCCTCTTCCGACGCCACTTGTATGGTAGAACGCTCCTCGACCTCGAGTTGTGTCGGCTTTTGTGCTTTTTTGCGAGGCGATTCCTCCGTCCCAGAAAATAAACCTCCAGGACAATTATAAACTTCACCGGATCGGATTACTACCAGCGTGCAAGGGGTGGCGAGGTAGTTTGCCAGGTCGCTTCCAGGTTTTTCTGAGCCTCAACCTCCTGCTCGCCCCTGGCCGTTTCGAACTGGATGAGTCTCGTAAAACAGTGTGTTCGTGCAATCACTACTGCGTGATGCAGGTTAAAGAGTAAAACAAGAGAGATAAAAACGTTACCATTTTCAAAGTGCTCGCAATGAGCTGACACACAAAACGAGTGGCTGAGATGCGGATAACGTTGGCTGGAATTTACAAATAAAGTGAGTTAATTCTAGAAGTTGGACTACAAAGAAGTAAGTAGCTTTTAAAACTTGGTCGAGTAAGCTGAAAAGAAGCAAAATATTATATAACTTGTTTTCTAAGAAAAGATGAGGAGTGTTTTAATACATTTTGTGCAGCAGCGAGTGAGGAGTCTTGCGGCTAAACACTTTCACTTTTTTTCACACCGCTTTTAGTGGATTTTAGGTTAGACGATGCGTCCTCTCCTTTTGTGACATTATGAAACTGGTCGTAGACAATATAAACCGAGAAGGACATTGTTAATTCTTGTCTGCAAAGGTTCGGCGTTGTAAAGAGAGGTAACGGGCAAAAAGCTCATCGGACAAGAGCTCCTCCGTTTTTCCCCAGACACGGACAAAAGCTTACCTCTTTCTTTGACTACCCGGGGGAAACACGAGATGGGGCTGAAGTGCGGACGTAATGGACATTGCCCCATTTTTAGGAGGCCGCTTTTTCCACTTCTGCTAAAGCGCGAAGAAAGGTAAGCCAACAGAAGCTGTTCTACCATAGTGAAAAGGAACGTGTTGTTAAGAAAAATTTAGCGCCATCACGTTTACTAGATATCGCAGTGGAGGATCGCCTTTTCACTTCAGCCAACTGGAATGCTGTTGGGCCTCCGGGGACAATTTGCTAAGAAAAAAGCTAAACGAACAGGGTTAGGCACAACGTCTTTTCATTACTAATGCATATGTTTTCTTGGGGTTGAGGGAAATACTTGAAGTAAATGGTTAAGAAAATAAAATTGTTTCCATCATTT